CTGGCCCGTTCACGCAGAAGGGAAAGCGGAGCACGAAGCATCGCACCGTGTTCGCGCACCAGCGCGAGAAGATCAAAGCCGCCGTGCTCTCCTGCCACGAGGCGATCGACGAGGACAGTTCGCGAGCATTCGGGCGCGCGCTGATCGAACTCTGGCGAAGTAACCGCTTCTCCCAGGAGCTGCGTTGGTGCGCCTGGGGGGCTGGAGTGTTTGGCGATGACGTGACCGCGCTCGAGATCTTCGAGTTGATGCGCGAGTTCCAGCGCAAGGATGGCAAGTTCTGGTATTACAGCTCGATCGACTTGCTCGAGGTCCTCAAGTCATTGGATTCGGACATGGCGCGCATGACGCTCAGTTATTATGCGAACCAGGGCCGCTCGAAGATGCAGCGCGAGACGAAGACCTTTATCGACAATCAGGTCCAGGCGCTCGAGATCTCGCGCGAAGAGTACGAGGATCGCATCGTGCCGACGTGCAAGCTCGACGAGCGGGGCACACGCGCGCTCGACTTTGGCGGGCGCGTCTTCGAGGTCGCCGTCGGCGAGAATTTTTATCCCACGCTAAGGAGCGAGGAGGCCAAGCTCTACAAGAGCATGCCGAAAAAGCGCAGCGAGGATGACGCTCGCGCATACGCGAAGGCGAAGGATGACTGGGAGTATCTTCGCAAGGGATTGGTTCACGTCTTTCGCGTCCAGAGCCAGCGCCTCGAAGCGCTCATGATCGACGGGCGTCGATGGAGCTTCGAGGATTGGGAGCAATACATTCACCACCACCCGTTGATGCTGCTGTTCGCGCGCAACCTTTTGTGGGGGATTTACGATGCTGAAGGCAACCTCGAGCGCTGCTTTAGAGTCGCGATGGACAACACGCTCGCAGACATCGAGGATGACCTCTTCGAGTTGCCCGAGAACGCGATCGTGGGCTTGCCACATCCGCTCGAGATGACCACCGAGCGTCGTCAGCGCTGGGGAGATGTGTTCCTCGATTACGAGCTGATCGCGCCCTTCGAGCAGCTCGGCCGCCCGACCTTCTCGCCAGAAGATGAAGAGACCTCTCCGGCCGCTCGTTTGGCCGGGCAGGAGGGCTCTCCCCGGCAGGCGCGCACGCACCTCAAATACCATGGCTATTCACGCGCGGATGCCTATGGCATGGCCACCTGGCATTCGCGCACGTTGAGCAATCGTCACATCCGCATCTGCATCGAGCTTTCGCCAGGGCTCGAGATCGGCTCCTACGAAAACGATGGCCCGCAACGCATCCGCACGATCGATTTCCGGGCGCTCAACGGCAAGTCGATCGACCTCGAGAAGGTCGACCCCGTGGCCTTCTCCGAAGGCATCCTCGACGCCCGTAGCATCGTCTCCGGCGTGCTCGAAGATGCCTCCTAGTGATTCTTTAAAAAGGCGCCTTCCTGCGGCGTCGCGCCGGGAAAAGAGAGGGGGCGGTGTTTTGCCACCGTACATTGGTCGAGCGTTCCGGCTATCAAAACACCGCCCCCTCTCTTTTCCCTCGCCGACCTGTGCGCCATCTCCAGAATTAAAGAGCCGACGTACTTGGAGGACGTGTGCGGCGAGGTTATGCTTGCAAGAGAAACCGCGTCGCTCTGGAGCAGCAGATGTCACGAGATAGCGAGGCCGCGTGGCCTCCAAAAGATAAGCCCTGGTGTTACTTCCTCGAACTCGAACTCGAGAACATCCGTTGCTTTGGCGAGAAGGTGAAGCTCGACCTGCGCGATCCTGAAGACGACGCCGTCCCTGCGCGCTGGACAGTTATTTTAGGCGAGAACGGAACCGGTAAGACGACCTTGTTGCAGGCTTTCGTGGCAATGCAACCAGTATGGCATGCACGCCATAAAGAGGATGAGGTCGATGCAATGATTTATACCCTCAACCCTCCAGTGATGAAGGGGTGGAGAGAGGGTGCGTTGGCTAAATCCAGAGCGTTGGATATTCATGTTCAGTTGAGTTATCAGGTTTTTAAGGCGACAGATAATTCTGACACTGCTCACGTATCATATGGGATTTCGAGCGCTGGTTTGATCGGTGGAGGATATGCAGGAGTTCCTGAATGTGATGCTCGTGCTGTTGTCATTGCCTATGGCTCTCAACGCCAGGTTGGTTCTCCACAAACCAACAATACCCCTGATGATTTAAAACACGGTTACGAGACCCTCTTCGACGAATCCCTGGCGTTGCCAAATCCTGCCGAGCGCGTGATGCGGGCATATTTGCTCTCGACGCTCGATGGCGAGGAGGAGGGGGTTCGAGAAGAAGCGAGGAAGCGCTACGAGAGGTTGAAGGCGTCGCTAGTCGAGGCGTTACCCGATGTGCAGAAGGTCTCGATCAAGGCGCGCGATGGGCAACCTGTGGTGCTCTTTACCACGCACTATGGTGAGGTCCCTTTCGAGCAATTGAGCGCGGGGTATCGCACCATGGCGGCCTGGGTCGCAGACCTTGTCGTGCGTATGGTCGAGCATTATCCAGAGAGCGAAGCGCCGCTCACCGAGCCTGCGATCGTGTGCATCGACGAGTTCGATCTTCACCTGCATCCGGCCTGGCAGCGCGAGAGCATCGCGTTCCTCACAAAGACGTTCCCCGCGACACAGTTCATCGTCACCGCGCACAGCCCGCTCGTGGTCCAATCCGCGCCAGATGCAAACGTCGTCGTGCTGCGGCGTGATGGTGATCAGGTGCGCATCGAGAACGATCCTGTGAGGGTTGGCAACTGGCGCATCGACCAGATCTTGACCAGCGAGTTGTTTGGTCTGAAGACCGCGAGGCGACCCGATGTGCAAGAGGTCCTCGAAGAGCGCGCGACGTTGCTGGGGAAGCAGGACCTCTCTGATGAGGAGCGCGAGAGGTTGCGAGAACTCGACGCCAGGGCTGCATCGATCCCTGCCGCCGAGAGCGCAGAGTTGATCGAGGCGAGGAAGTTCTTGCTCGATCTCACCGCCGAGCTCGGTCAGGGGCGAGAGGGTTAGGCGTGATCAAGCTCGAAAGAGACGCGCTCCCCGCGGCGCATCCGTTGCTCGTCGATGGCTCGTCGAAGATGGCGAAAGAGCTCGCGCGTTGGCGCCAGGGCTCGAGTACGTTCAAGGCAAAGCTCGACGAGAAGGTGTGGGGTTCATGCAAGCGTGACCTGCAACGCATCCAACATGGAAAGTGTTGTTACTGCGAGACTCAGTTCGCGTCCTCTGATTATGGCGCGGTGGAGCACTATCGCCCTAAACATGGCGTCCGCAATGTGCCATCACACCCTGGTTACTGGTGGCTAGCCTACTCCTGGGACAACCTGCTTCTGTCGTGCATGTGTGCAACTCGAGCTTCAAACAGACGCATTTTCCATTGGCCGATGAGTCCAAACGTATAGACGATCCAGCAGGCAACCTCGATGACGAGGACCCTCGAATTCTCGATCCATTCCGCGATGATCCTTCCGACCACATTCGCTTTCGCAAAGAGGTTGCTTCACCTCTCACTGAAAAGGGAAAGGCTACGATCGAGTTGTGTGGATTAAACAGAACAGAGAACAGGTCGAACCCTGCTATTCCCTTGAATGATGGTTTGCAAGAGAGCCGGCGAGAGCATTACGAGGTGCTCGAAGCGCTTTACAAGGCGCTCTCTGGCAACACACGCGGGCGTATCGGGCAGCTGCTCCTCGATGATGTCGAGTGGCAGCGGCGTTGGGCTGTGCTCGAGTCCAGGGTCTTGGGCCCGAGGGCTCCTTATCTCGCCATGGTTCGCCAGGCCTTTCTGGATGATTTCGATTTGGTGCGTTGAGTGGTTCTCCAAAATGGAAAGAAGCTGACCTCTTCTGGAAAACCGGGGGTGGAAGGGGTATAAACAGGTCACTTTGGTGGGATCAAATCGAGCGCAACCTCGCGCGACGAACGCGAGGAGATGGAGAAGGAGGTCGATCGTGAGCGAGCAGGCCAGAGAGCTGTTGTACGATGAGGACGTGGAGGCGTTCAACGCGTGGCGTCGCGAGAACCCCGAGGAGCCGATCGTGCTCGACCGGGAGGATTTGGCGGGGCTCGATCTGAGCGGCGCCTGGTTGATGGGCGCTTCACTTCGAGGCACGAACCTGGCGCACGCGCGCCTCGTGCACACGATCTTTTCCGGCGCGACGATGGACGAGGCCGACTTGCACTCGGCGGATTTGACCGAAGCGAGCTTCGGGCCGCCGAGGTTGATCGAGGCGGACTTGCTGCAGAGCCCGCTCGGCAAATCGATGCTCAGGGGCGCGAGCTGCAAGAGCGCGAACTTCGAGCTCGCCACGCTCACGAGCACGGACTTTCGCGAGTCCGATTTGACGAACGCGGACTTCTCGCGAAGCAACCACGCAGACGCCTCCTTTGACGCCGCGATCCTCTCGGGCGCGAACATGCCCACGGAGGCCGCCACGCTCGAGGAGCGCACCTGGGGCGCGCTCAAGGGGCTGACGAGTTCTCAAAAACAATCCTACGTGCAGACCCTCTACGCCATCGCTTGCGTGGACGGTGATTTTGACGAGAGCGAGCAGGCGTTCCTGTTCACCATCGCCAACCATATGGATCTCACGCCCGAGGAGTTCGAGGCGTGCATCCCGAGCGGCGAGATGGTGCTCTCGGATATCGAGATCGATCCTCCGGATGACCCCGAGCTTCGAGTGCAGTGGTTGCGAAACATCATCGTCATGATCGCCGCCGACGGTGTGCTCGCGCCCGCAGAATACCAGACCTGCCTCTACTTCGCGGACCAGCTCGGCTTCCCACAGCAGGTCGTCGACGAGGTGCTCGGCGCGCTGCGCATCTGAAGATCGTCGACGCCATCGCAAAAAAGGGACCCGTCGGGTCCCTTTTTTGCGTTCTCATAAGAGACGCATCGCGCCGTTTTGAATCCCGGCGCGCTATGATACGTCCACAAAAACGTGAAGTGCTTTGTGCTTTCGTGCACAATACAGCGCGACTGACCCGACTCACATGGTGAGTCTTGTTTGACAACCTCGCGGTCACTTTCGGCATGGCGAGGAATGATTTGGATGTTTGGATCACGGGTTACGCTTGCTACGCTCGGGCATATAAACCGACAACAGCAGGCAAAACAGCAAAGGAGCATGAGATGCGCAGCGTACAGCAGAAGCAGAGCAAGAGGTGGGCATTGGTTTTGGCGGGCGCGGTCGTTTTCGGCGGGCTCGCCTGTACCTCCTCGACGACAGGCAATTTGGGGAACCTCGAGTTCTACTACACCGCCGATGACGAGATCGGGAACTTCAACAAGCCGATCGCTGTGGGCGCCAAGCTCGAGGTCTTTGTCCAGGATGCTGGCGATGGGAGCGATCGTCAGGCGACGCTTCAAAACGCCACCACCGACGATGAGGGCATCGCGCGCGTCGCGTCCTTTAGCGGCAACAGCATGATCATCGAGGGCGTCTCCGAGGGGAGCTTCGAGATCAACGTCGAGGCCACCGTCGCGCGCACTGGCGAGACCGAGGAGGACGCCGTCAACATGCTCGTGCGCGTGCCCGAGGTGCTTATCCTGAGCCACACGTGCGAGGCGCATGGCAACAACAGCGCTTATTACCTGGCTGGCGATGAGGTCTACATCCCCTTCGATATGGAGCTCGAGGATGGCCAGGATGTCATCGGCTACGGGTACTATCCCGTGGAGCTCGACTCGACGCTCGCGACGCTCGTCGAGGGGCAGAAAGGGCAGGCGACCATCCGCTACAAGCTCGGCGAGGAGACCGGGGAGGTGACGCTCACCTCGACCATCGATGACACCACCGCGAGCATCAAGATCGCTACCGAGGATCAGATCGGCGGCGTGCGCCTCGATAACCCCGAAGACGAGATCTCGCTCGGCCAGACCGAGCTGGTCTTTGTCAACCCGCTCATCGAGGACGAGGAGGTGTGTCAATCGAACGCAGAAATCACCGCGACCTCCACCACCCCCGAGATTTGCGACGTCAAGCCAGGATTCCCCGAGTTCGGCCAGGACAACATGGACGTCCCCGAGCTCACCGAGACGGGCTCGACTGGTTGGGTCGAGATCTCAGGAAAGGCTGAAGGGGATTGCTCCTTCGACGTCACCTACCCCAAGGGCAATGGCGGCGAGGGCGTGACCGCCTCGTTCACGCTCCCCGTCAAAGGGTGAGCACACGACGCCCCGAGGTTCGGGGCTTGTTCTTTCGATGATGACGCCCGATGCTTGCGACCCGAGCAGCATCGGGCGTTTTTTATCTCACACGCGCGAATCAGAATGATCCTACTCGAAGAAGATGGACTGATCCTGGTGAACAAGCCCGCGGGGATGCCGACCGCGGGGGATTTCCTCGAGCAACCAGGGAGCCTGCAGTTCGAGCTGATGCAGCAATACAGGCGTATGATCTGGGCCGTGCATCAGCTCGACAAGGAGACCTCCGGGCTCAACGTCTTCGTGCGCAGGAAGGCGCTGGTGCAAGCCTGGACCGAGCGCATGAAGGATGGGCAAAAGGAGTATCTGGCGATCTGCCACGGCGTGCCTGATGCGTCATCGCTCTGGGTGGACGAGCCGACGGACTGGATACCCGAGCGCAAGCGCCGTGGCGTCGTCGCTGATGGGAAGCCCTCGCGCACCGAGTTCAGGGTGCTCGATGAGAGCGGTGATTTTGCGCTGCTCGCGGCGAAGTTGCACACCGGACGCACGCATCAGATCCGCGTGCACCTCGAACACATCGGCCATCCGCTCGTCGGAGAGCAGCGCTACAGGGAGCCTCCCTGCGCGCTCGCGCCCCGTCAGATGCTCCATGCCTGGAGGCTCGAGATCGAAGGCCACGAGGTGCCCGATGCGCCGCTCCCCGAAGATTTCGCGCAGGTGCTAGGTAAACTCGGGCTGACCTTCTCGGAATAGACCTGCCACAAACCTCGGTTGGGGGTGTATCGCGACACGACTCCCGTGACGTGAGCACCTGCCGAGGTCTCTCATGTGAAGCGCTCACACAACTCGACCTGAGTGATATTCGATGTGATTCACGCCGAATATCGCTCTCGTGATGTATCGCGCCTGTTTATTCATGGCGCTGGTGCATCGATCTATCCATCAAAACCTGACGGATCGATAGCGCGCCTCGAGCGCGCTCGTTTTGCCCGCTCGTTTTGCCGCTCGAACCTCATGAAAGGAGGAGCTCGTCGTGGTGGGGCGTGAGTTGGCGAGGTGGATCGCTCTGCCTTGTCGACAGGTGGGTGAGATCCGTCTGGAGCGATGCCGTGTCGACAGGCACGCCATTGCTCGGGAGGAGATCTCGAGATGAAGAGAGCACCCGATGAGGATGTGCAGTGGGAGTACCAGTTTTATCCCACACCACCAGCGCTGGCGGCGAAGCTCGTCGCGTTGGCGGATATTGGCCCGGAGGACATCGTCCTCGAGCCTTCGGCGGGGCGAGGGGTGTTGTTGCGGGAGATCGCGACCTACAACCCCGCGCGCGTCGAGTGTTGTGAGTTGATGCCAGAGAATCGCGCGTATCTGATCGCGCAGGGGTGGGAGGTTGTCGAGGAGGACTTCCTCGCGCTCGAAACCTATGCGCGCTACACGCGCATCGTGGCCAATCCTCCGTTTAGCGGAGGTCAGGACATGCGGCACGTGCGTCATATGTACGCGCTGCTCGGTTTTGGCGGGATCATGGTCGCGGTGATGAGCGCGAAGTTCCTCGAGTCCGCGCTCGAGGAACACATCGCGTTCCACCGCTGGCTCGAAGATCGCCAGGCGCTCGTGGAGCCGCTCGGCGTGGGCGCTTTCGACGAGATCGGCGTCGACGTGGCGACCGCGCTGGTGATTCTTGGCAAGTGATACCGACGTTGTGGTCAGCTGATGTGGCGAGTTGCCTGAGGCAACTCGCCACATCGGCGCTTTTTTGGTTTCTTGAACCAGCGCGGCTTCTTCTCGGCCCGTTCAGGTGGTCAGCGCCATCAGAACGCCTGCGTCGTAGCCGTTGACCTCGACGTCCATGGCGACGCGGTTGACCTGGCCGTTGCCAGCGCGCAGCACGGTCGTGACGGTCTGTGGGAGGTCATCTCCAGGGTAGTAGATCTTTTCGAGGACGCACGAGCCGAGCGAGCCCTCGAATGTGCGCGAGAGGATGTTGAAGATCTCCCAGATGTTCTCCTCGATGACCGGGGTGATGTCATTGTCCTTGGCGGCGCGTTGGGCGACCTTGGCCGGTATCATGGTCAAGGCCGCGCCGGTGGAGCAGGCAAAGCTCAGGTCCGCGGCGCACATGGCGGTGACCTGATTGGTGCGGCGTTGACGATAGAGCGCGACGACGAGGTTCTTGTCGCGCAGGCGGCTGTTGCCTCGTTGAGATTCGACGCGCACGCGCCGACCCAGCAGACCACCGAGCAAGTCGCGGACGGTGTTGAGCTCGGGCATTTCGGCGTTCTCTTTGAGCATGGTGGTCTCCTTTCCAGGTCGTGCGAGAGCGAGGTGCAGCGCGCTCCGGGGAGGAGCGAGCCGCGCCTTGTCTCTTTTGGGTCAGTCAGTTGACAGGCAAGCGCAACGTGAAGTGCGCGGCGGACGAGTCTTCCAGGGTCAGCTCGAGGTTGGCGATCCTCGGTGGGTCGTGGAGGAAGGACGCCATGTCCAACCCTGTCGGTATCCCGAGCTGAAAGTGTTCGTGGTGATGGTGGAGCCTTCCCTTCAGACCACCCGCCAGGATGTTGCACACCTCTCCGAGCGCATCCTGGAGATCGAGCCCGAACTCTTCGAGCATCTCGGCGTCCATGCCGAGCAGCGCGCTGGCCAGTTGTCTACAGACGTTCTCTTCGGCGAAGAATCCGATCTCGACGACGGCGTCATCGATCTCGAGCTGGATGCTCGAGCCGAGGTAATTCTCGGTGGGGACCTCCGCCTGGTGGACCTTGATCGGGAGGGCGCCAAAGATCACGGGTGAGATCTCTTCGATAACCTCCATCGTTTGCTCGAGCCAGGGATCGAGCGTCGTATCGAGCTCCGGGGAGTGTTCGTTCGTCATCACAAAACCGCCTGCAGTGAGTCCCTCAAGGTGTCTTCGGTGAAGGGTTTGGTGACCATGAATTTCGCGCCCGCGTCGGCCGCGCGCTGGCGCAGCTCGGGCGTGCCCTCCGTGGTGATGAAACCACAGGTGAGCTCGGGCTTCTCGACCTTGAGGGTCTCGAGAACTTCGATTCCGGTCATCTCGGGCATGTTCCAGTCGAGCATGACGAGGTCATAGTTGGTGGCGCGGATCTTCTCGAGCGCCTCGACGCCGTTGGTCGCCTCGGCGACCTCCCAGGAGTCGAAGCCTGCCTGGCGAAGTGTACGGCGGATGATCATGCGCATGGCCTTGCTGTCGTCGACGATGAGGACGTTCATGTCTTCTCTTCCTGTCTTTGGAGGTTGGTTGTTTTGCGGGCAACGCTTCGCCCACGCTCTGGTTATCGTAACTTGTAGTAGGTTGCTTTATGGGTATGTTCTCTTTTGAACTCATCATCGATCATTTGGATGGTTTCTGCTGCTCCCAGAAGGAGATAGCCATCGCGCCCGAGCTGCCTCTTGACCTTGGAGAGGATCTGCTTCCGAGTCTCCGTGGAGAAGTAGTAGAGGACGTTGCGCATGAAGATGATGTCCATCCTGGGGAGCATCGGCCACGGCTTGATGAGGTTGACCTGTTGGAAGGTCACCATCTCGCGCAGCTCGGGCTTGATGACCCACTTGGCCCCGTCCTGGTCGAAGTAGCGCACGAGGTATTTGGCGGGCATGCCGCGGTTGATCTCGAGCTGCGAGTAGACCCCTTGCTGGGCGCGTTCGAGGATCTCGGTGCTCAGGTCGGTGGCCATCAGGTTTACCCGCCAGCCGAGCCGGAGCTGCGGGAAGCGCTCGAGCAGGATGATGCACGTGCTGTAGATCTCCTGACCGCTCGAGCAGGCCGCTGACCAGATGTTGATCGTGCGCGTGGCCTGGTTGGCTTTCATCACCTCCGGGACGATCTCTCTGGCGAGCGCGTCGAAGACGGGCATATCGCGAAAGAAGCTCGTCTCGTTGGTGGTCATGGCGTCGACGACCTTCTCGTGCAACGGCCCAGCCGCCGCTTGCTTGAGCTGATCGACGAGCTCGCTGTAGTTGGTCAAACCCTCGCGATGAATGATCGGTTGGAGCCTTGCCTCGACGAGGTATTGTTTGTTCTCCCCCAACTCTATCGCGGAGCGTGCGCGGACAAACTCGCGCAAGAAGTCGAAGTCGTTTTGCGACAATTCCATGTTCTTATCTCCTCGGAGCCAGGACGTTTTCGGTGCTGTTTTGCGTGATGAGGGCGCCAGGTTGGACCATGGAGGTCATGCGGCCCGCGATTTGATCGAGCGGGAGCACCTCGTCGGCGATCCCCGCGTTGACGATCGCGCCCGGGATGCCCCAGACCACGCTCGATGCCTCGTCCTGGGCGATGATTTGGCCACCAGCCAGGTTGATCGCCTTGCCACCATCGCGTCCATCATGGCCCATACCTGTGAGCGCGATGGCCAGTGTGTTCTCGCCGCAGATCTTTGCCGCGGAGTGAAAGAGCAGGTCGATGGCCGGGCGACAGGCGTTCACTGGTGGGCTGTCCTCGAGCTTGAGGAGGAGCCCATCGGGAGCTGCGCGCACCATCAGGTGCCTGTCTCCAGGCGCGATCCAGACCTCGCCAGGTTTGATGAGGACGTTGCTGCGAGCCTCTCTGACGGTCAGCGCCGATTTCTTGTCGAGCTGCTGCGCGAGCAACTCGGTGAACTTCTCGGGCATATGTTGTGCGATGAGGATCGGGACCGGGAAGCTCGCCGCCAGCAGCGGGATGATCCCGGCGAGCGCCTTGGGGCCGCCCGTGGAGGACCCGATCACGATGAGCTCGATCTTCTTGCGTTTGCGGAGCGCCTTGCGTGGGCGAGGCGCAGACGAGGCGGCTTTGGCCGGCTGAGTGCGCGCTGGCGAGCTGATCGGCGTCGGAGCTACTTTGGGCGCCGTCACAGGCTTTGACACCGAGGTGAGCGTTGGCGTCTTCGTGCTCGATGTCCGCTGCTTCGCCTTGAACGTGTTGCTCGCCTGATGCGATTGTTCGAGCGAAGGAACGAGCCCGCTCGCCGCGCGCTTGAAGTTGCTCGCTGTGGGCATTCTCCTGAACGGGTTGCCGTTTTCGGCTGGCGTTGAAAACAGCGGGATGAGTTTCTCGCGCAGATGTCTCAGCCCGAACGCGAGGTCATCGAGGTCGCGAGGCTTCTCGACGTGGCGATCGATGGGGCAGTGGTTTGCAGCGGCGATGCCCGATATGCGATCGATGGCGAGAGCGCTGTGGCTGATGACGAGCGTATCTCCGAGCTCTTCATTGAGTTTCTTGTAGA